CACAAATATCTGCTATTTGGACATAAAACTTCAATTTTTGGTAAAAACATGGTCCTTGTCAATACTTCTCTGAGTCATAGGACAAACTTTTAACCCGGCTGAACCTACTGTGTGCAACACAATGAAGAATGCTAATAAAATTTGTCATGCTACCTCTTTGTCTGCCATGATAATCATGCATGTTAGAAATCCAGCTGTAAAAATAGATGGAGAAAATGCTTTCATTGTACATAGGACAGGAGACAAGGAGGAAAACATGTTTGAATAATGTGTTGCTTAAGAATAAGGCTCTAAAAATTTATGGACACATTTGTCATGATATCCTGCAACCCTCATTTCAGTGTCTCAATTTATGTGAATGTACTTTATGAGAGGTTTTTAGGAAACATAACCCTAGCATAAAGGGAAGCCTGCATAATTAAATATATATTGTTTATAGTTACATATTAGTCTTATTAGCATGTTTGTATATAAAAATTAATTATAACTAAATACTGCATAAAGTGCCATTCAAATAAAATGTAGAAAATTTTACTCATTACAACTGTAAATGATTTTCTCTTCAGTGACTTATTAGCTTTGCATGTATAATCTTACCACAGAAGAACAAAACAAAGTTTTCCCCATTCTTCAAAGGCAGAACTATCTCTGAGTATATAAGAGTCGTTCCTTTATTAAACCATATTAATTAAATTTATACCTCATCATTCTACTCAAATGAGTATTCAAGGTAGCTTACATTAAAAAAAAACTAAATTAACATAAATTAAAATTATTACCCAAATTAACAGTTTAAAGAGCTTCAGAAAGAGATGCGTCTTTACAGATTTTCTAAAAGCCATGAGAATAGTAGCCAAGCACAACCACCATGGCCTGGGAGGAACCAAGACGACTTTCTCCCATGTGCCAGATAAGGAAGCTTTTGATACTGGCAGAAGGGCCTCTTTCGAAAATGTTAACAGGTCACCTTTTTTCCTCCACCAGCTCCCATTCCTTCCACTAACATCACTGGGAAAGT